TTTTTTTTTCAGGTGTTATTTTAGATATTGCATTTGAGACTGCCAACTTTTCCTCAGCATTATCTTTCATGATGAACAAAAAAGTCACACAAATAAATCGCGCCCCTGCTTTCAATTCCTACTTCCAGACAAATAGGTAGGTTGCAGTTTCCAGGTCAATCCTGGAAGTGCAGATGGTGGGATGCGAAAATGTAAGAAAAAGTAATGAAGGTTGGTGATAAGAGTGAGCTAAGACGTTTCGGTCCATTAAGTCATAATGCATCTTAACTCCACTCTGCGACTGGACCTCGTCAGTATGACGGTCGCAGTGCGTAAGGAAGAAGAAAGAAGAGGAGGAAGCTGGGAAGAGAGTAAAGAAAGACGGACAAGCAGAAAAAAGAGGAAGAAAAGGGAAGAAGATGGGAACTGATGGGTCTCTGCTCTTAGTCTCAGCTAGCTTTTCCAGGTAATAACCTCGTCCTTTTCCTCCGTTAGAGTAGCTGCTTGAACGAAGCCCTTTTGAAAACGCCTATGGATTGTTTAAATTTCTTTTCAGCACCATAACTGAACCTCGTTAGTATGATGACTGTTGTTTTGGGGAAAAATTTTGGTCCGAGGTTGGCGTATAGCTAATAGAGCGAAACTGACGAACTACGGGTATCCTTGTTTTTAATGATTTTCACTGTTTTTGTCAGATATTTGCCAATAATGCCGAGTGGCGTGATATGTTCATATTCGGTATGCAGCTGTACGCTTTTTCGACTGACCACGCTACGCCGTGTGCGGAATGGCAGGTGGCTGGAGTGAAGTGATACTCCGACAGGCTCTTTACTCCGTTCACTTAGCAGTTTGTTGAATCTATTAGTCCGGCTGCCTGAAATGTGATATCCGTGAATACGGACAAAATGTTTGGGGATTTATCTTCACCAAAACACGAAAATGTGAATTATTGATGTTATCAAACATTGTTGCAAAGCGGAAAAACTTCAACATTATCCAAATATTGTGCCTTTTTTCACCTACTATCCAGTGATTTACCAAGTTTTTGCGCAAGCAATGAATGATTCTTGGCTTTACAAGCTAATTCAGAATAATTTCTGCCTTTCACAGGAAAAGAGTAATAAAGCAATGAAAAGAGCTCAGTGCAACGTTTTTCGGTGTGCAATGGCCGTGGATTGGCATCGATCACTCGGATAACGCATCTGGCGTGCTGATGGATATCCTCGGCCGCCTTCGAGCACCGGTACAGACGACTACGCTCGTATTCATTCAGCGTTTCGGCCCTGCAGCAGAGTTTGGATTAACTCCGATAGCTGTTGTCAACCCCAGTAGCGACTGTCAAATTTCTGGCTCCAGGATGAAGCAAGCGATCGTGAAATGCAACGAACCGTTGATTGGCAACGGCCGACATGATGCTACTGATACCCTGGTGCACCCAGCGCTCATACAGCTGCATCCCGGCCTCTGTGGATATTGGAATGTTCAGCTTTTTGCCATCGTAGTACTGCGCACCAGGGATTTTTCCACGTTTGGATGCTTCCGAGCTGCACACAGTCCCTTCAAGAGCTCAGTTGCTGAGTTACGAGCGACTTCAAAAATAATATAATAACAAAAA